TTGTTTCATGTGGGGATTTCAGTTTTGGCAAAAAAGACATACATGGAAGGTATGTATAAGCAAACTGCTGATAACCAGTACTGGCAACTTTGGAACCGCCAGAAGTTGAATCCTGAGCTTGAGGCCAAGCGGCAGCATATTATGAAACTAAACAAGGTTGTTCATGCGTTGATATATCTCCCTCACCTATCTGTTACTACTTTTAGCTCGCTGTTGTCATTTATCTTCTACTTTTCTCATTCTAGGATTTGACTCATCAACTGATTGAACTAGAGAGATATTTTAATCGGCTTGAACTCGATCGCTACCATGAGGATGGTGGACATCCTGTGGCACGAAGAGGCGTGCCAAGTAGGTCTGCTCCTTCAAGGTATTCTTGTGGATCAGTTGTGGATATTTTAAGGAAGAAAAAACCATCACAAGAAATTCTTTTAGTTGGTCATAACGTCCCCTTTTTTGCAACTCAAATTGGGTTGATTCTTTTTGCAGACGTGTGCAATCCCTTCACAGCCTTCATAACACAATGAGTTCCCAATTGGCAGCTTCTGAGCAACTCTCTGAGTGTCTCTCAAAACAAATGACATATTTGAAAATCGATTCACCTGTAAAAAAGAATGTGAAGCAGGAGTTGTTTGAGACAATTGGGATCCCTTACGATGCTTCTTTCAGCTCACCAGATGCGGTAAAAGCTAAAAATGCATCTTCAGCAAAAAACCTATTACTGTCTTCTATTCCCGCAAGTATAAATGCACAGTCAAGACAACGTCAGTCATCTGCTATGAAAAATTCTGACCCTGAAACTGCCAGGAGGAGAAGAGAATCACTAGACAGGGTAATTTTGTAGGAAATCTTTGACTCAGTAGTAGCCCTCACGATATATGCACATCATTCTGTTCTGTGATGCTCTAGTATATTAAACTGTGAAGAATTTATGCACTTCTTTTATTTTTGGTGTATCCTGACGTGTGGCTCTACTTTTTATGATCTGTTTACAGAATTGGGCTGCTTTTGAGCCTCCAAAAACAACTGTCAAAAGGATGCTTCTGCAGGAGCAACAGAAGACGGGTATGAACCAACAGATTGTCTTAAGTGAGAGACTACGGTCTGTGAATAATACACAAGAGCGATCACTGCTTCGCCTGAAAAATCATGCATCACCTGTAGTCTCCTCAAATAAGGGTGAGCTAAGATATACTGCGGAGTGCATTAATTTGATCTCGAAGAATGTTTTTGTGTTTCATTTGTTTTTTTATTTCTACTCTATCACTTCTCTGGTTTGATTGTGTAGTTACTTTGAGCAGGCATTATGGAATCATTCCAACAAGACACATCTGAAGCTCAATCAACCCTATTCAAAACGAGGCCACCTATGCCCCAATCTAACAGTCCCTTTACCATCTCTCCAATCTCTGCCTCAAAACCAAGTTTCAATTGGTCTGGAAATAAGTCTAGCAGTACAACTTCTTATGCTGAGGAGTCTGCCCCGTCGCAGAATAAGGATACAAGGACAGTTTCACAACCAGGAGGATCAAATTTTCTTCTGAAACGACCAGTGGCCTCGACTGTATTTGAACAGACAGAAAAGAAGGCTGGAGAATTCAAATTTTCTGAAGCTAAGGCCAATGCTTTTGTTGAAACAGCTGCTGGAAGTGTGCAGCATCTTTCTACCACATCATCAGGATCTGATTATGAATTTAGCAAAGGTTTTGGCGCTCAACTTTCACCCATGTCTTCTGGTGGACCAGCATCTAGTTTCCCTTCCAAATCGTTGTTTGGTTTCAAAACCAGTAGCAGTATCTATGGTGATAAAGTTACTTTTCCTGCTGCAACGGTATCAGTTTCTTCTTCACCTTTGTCTAGCACGCCACTTGATTCCACTTCCACTTTATCTACACCATCATCACCTCCAATGTCATCCTCTACACAAGATTCAGGTATGTTTAATCTGACCTCTGTGTATTTCGTTTGATTCACATAATAGTCAACTATAGGCACATCTGGTCATTGACACTGGTCAACTTTAATATGAATTTCAGTTCCAGCATCTATTCCCATTAGCTCAGCACCAGTCATGCAAACGTTTTCAGTCGCATCTACATCTACAGTTTCTGCTACGGGGTTCAATGTTCCATTTGGTAAACCGTTGACCAGTGCCAATGTAGATCTCAGTCAAGCAGCTCCGTCAACACCTTCTCCATCACCTGGTCCCACAACTGGTTTCTCTTTTAATTTACCAGCTTTATCTCCATCATCCCCTGAAATGGTCTCATCCTCAACAGGCCAATCTTCATTATTTCCACTATCTTCTCCAGCGTCGCAAGTGTCATCTGATCAGGCCTCTGCAACCAGTTCCCTAACAGATAGTAGTCGTTTGTTCTCATCAAATTCCTTATCTTCGACTCCTATTACTTCAACCCCTCCTGATGCGTTTCAGTCTTCTCAAGCTTTCACCCCGTCCTCTGCTGTGCCCATTACAGAGCCAGTCTCGGAACCTAAAAAACCAGAGGTTCAAAGTTCATCAATTCTGAGTACGCAAAGTACTGTAGATTCTGTAGCAAATGCTACAAAAACACAGAATGAGCCACGGCCGGTGAAAAGTGAAATTTCAAACCTGGAGACTACAGTAACCCCTGTCAGTTCATCTGGGTTCCTGTCTGGATTTTCATCAGGAACAGAGTCTAGTCTTGCAAGCATGGCGGCTCCTTCATTCAGCTGGCCAGGTAGTTCTCAGCCACAACAGCAATCGTCTACACCTGTCCCTTTCCCTGCATCCTTACCAACTTCGGCGAGTCCATTTGGTGAGAAAAAAGATACTGTAGATACACAGGAAGATGAAATGGACGAAGAAGCTCCAGAGGCTAGCCAGGCAACTGAACTTAGTATGGGAAGTTTTGGAGGTTTCGGGCTTGGGTCAACTCCAAACCCGGCTGCCCCCAAATCTAATCCATTTGGTGGTCCCTTCGGTAATGCTACAACAACAACAACAAGTAATCCATTCAATATGACAGTCCCGAGTGGCGAGCTATTCAAACCTGCATCGTTCAACTTTCAAAATCCTCAACCATCTCAACCGGCAGGTTTTGGTGCGTTCTCTGTAACACCTTCGCAGACACCTGCTCAGAGTGGATTTGGCCAACCGTCACAGATTGGTGGGGGACAGCAAGCTCTAGGGTCGGTTCTTGGCTCCTTTGGGCAGTCGAGACAGATTGGTGCTGGTCTCCCAGGGGCTACGTTTGGTTCTCCTACAGGATTTGGTGGCTCTAACCCAGGAAGTGGTCTGCCAAATGCACCAACATCCGGTGGTTTTGCTGCTGCTGGTTCTAGTGCCACTGGTGGCTTTGCCGCCATGGCTTCAGCAGGTCGAGGCTTTGCTGGTGCTTCTTCTACTCCCACTGGTGGCTTTGCTGCCTTGGCCTCAGGTAGTGGAGGCTTTGCTGGTGCTGCTCCAGGAGGAGGAGGCGGTGGATTTGGTGGACTTGGTTCAGGCACCGGAGGTTTCGGAGGCTTTGCTCCTCAGGGTAGTGGAGGTTTCGCCGGAGCAGGAGGAGGTAATATTACATCTAAACATAGATTGACCTATACATTACAAATACAGGGTAATGCTCATAGATTTTGACCATTGTCATGTTGTTGTGATTGTATTACTATTATACAGGTGGTGGTTTTGGTGGTTTCGGCGGCCAAGCGCAAGGCCAAGCAGGTGGTGGTGGATTCTCAGCCTTTGGCGGCAACTCCGGAGCAACAGGAAAGCCATCGGAACTCTTCACACAGATGAGAAAATGAAACCAATATGTTCAATTATCTTTTACTTAAGACTTTCACTCGTCTCTAGAAATTTTGGTCTTACCTACCTAGACATAGTCTATAATTCAATACATAAATATATTGTGTGTTTGTTTGTACTCTTTAAAATTGGATTTAAGTCAACTAGTCTCCAAAATGTTTAGTAAATTGATGACTTAACTCTCTCACGTGGCTTATGCCTTGATGGTGGTCATAGAGTTCAGCTCTTTTTTATTTTCCCGTCATCATAGAGTTGAGCTTTTTCATCCCTTTCCAGAAGAAAGCCAATTTGGTTTCATTATTATTATTGTTATAAACAACTTAAGAGAAGATATTTTCTTATTGGGAAAATCACATTTTTAACATTCAAAGTGTCACTAGGTTACATTTTAAATTTCGAAAGAATTCTACTAACACTATAAACTACCAAAATAATTTTACTAACATTTTAAACTTCCAAACTAGATTTCATGTTTGCACCGCCATAAAATATGATGGAACAATTAATTTATCTTGGTTTAATATAAATTTGTTCAATTTGATTTAAATTTTAATTAATTTTATTATTTATTATGATTTTACGATTATTAAGTAAAAAAAGTAAATTCCTTCGATACAGAGAATGCTTTGTTTTCTGATTAAACTTCGATATTCTTTAGTTTTTCTTATTCTATTTAAGTTTCTCTTGTACTTCATATTCTACATTATTTAGTTTCTATTATTATACTATAAATTTTTCTTGTGCTTAAGTATATAGTTTCAGAAGTTTAATTTTGAAATTTTATGGTCGAACGGTGAGTAAACAAAGAATGTGAAGTTTTTTATTGTATTTTTTAGATTTTTATTAATTGTAATAAATAATAAAATTAATATAAATTTAAATTAAATTAAATAAATGTATATTAAACAAATAAAAATTAAATTTTCCATCATTTTTTTTTATGGCTGGACAAACAGAAAAATTAGTTTGGAAGCTTATAGTGTTAGTGAAAATCTTTCAATGTTTAAAATGCTACCCAATAACATTTTGAAGGTTAAAAATGTATTTATCCTTTTTCCTATCTACATAATTTTTATATTTGGCATCTTGCTTATTAAATAGTGATTTTCAGTTTCGAGAGTTGTATAAAAGAAAAAAGAAAGAGAAAAAGGAGTGGGCCTAGTGGGAATAGCAGAGAGGCGTTATTCAGTCTCTGAAATATTTTTCTTTAATTTAATTATTTCGTTGAGAGATTTTTAATTTCACCGGAGAAATATATTTTACATTAATTTGGCCTCAATCTTGGATTCGATGTGATCCCGCCAAACAAACTCTTACTCTTCCCCTCCTCACGAAATTCTCCCCCGTCGTTCTCTTCCTCTTCTCCCTCCGTTGATCTGTGATGTGTCGCCGGTAAATTTCGACAATAGAAGAAGCTTCGTGACTAATTTGTCTTTTATGAAGGGACATCGGAGTTGCCACGAGATTTATGATGCTTTGTGGTTCTTTACGAGATCGAATTCAGCCTTGGCTTCGCGATTATGTTAGGCTCCAATCTCTCGCCGTCTTCCTTATTTACGCTCAGGTTTCTATCTCTTTCTCCGCGATTGATTCAAATCTGTTTGGGGTCTAGGGTTCATCGATTCTCTGAATTTGTCTCATCGCTGATTATTATATTTTCCGGTGGTTTCAGATTGGGTGCGCATTAATCGGATCGTTAGGAGCATTATACAATGGAGTTTTGTTGATAAATTTGGCGATTGCGTTGTTCGCGCTTGTTGCAATCGAGAGCAATAGCCAAAGTCTCGGCCGCACCTACGCGGTTCTTCTCTTCTGCGCTCTGCTTCTTGATATCTCATGGTTCATACTTTTCACCCAAGAGATTTGGTATTGCTCTTAACCATTCAAAACCTTGCTTATGAATCTGGAACTAAGCTTTGCTCTAAGAGACTTCACTCTCTTTAGTTTCCAACACAATCTATTTGCCTGAGCAAAATTGGATATCAACTTTGTTTTTGGTTCATTATTCCTTTGAAATGATTGATCATTCTAAGTTTTCCTTCCATTTTTGTTCCATTCCATTATCGGAAACATTGTTCATGTGATGCATTTTTATTGACAAAACATCCCATTGTTGATGCAGGAGCATTTCAGCTGAGACGTATGGAACGTTTTTCATATTTTCAGTGAAACTGACAATGGCGATGGAGATGATTGGGTTCTTTGTGAGGCTATCATCCTCGCTCTTATGGTTTCAGATTTATAGACTGGGGGCTTCTATCGTGGACACTTCACTTCCTCGTGAAACTGATTCGGATTTACGAAGTAGCTTCTTGAATCCACCAACTCCTGCTATAGCTAGACAATGTTCAGGTTCTGAAGAAATCTTGGGAGGTTCCATCTACGACCCAGCCTACTACACCTCTCTATTTGAAGAAAGCCAAACCAATATAAATTCACCACAGGTTTTTTTTCTTTCTAATTTCTACTTTCTTCGCTTTCCCCTTGTTTCCAGTTTATATGTTTTCAGGTCACTTCATGTTTTTGTAATTTTATCACTCAAGACTGTATTTCGACATGCCTGTTTACTCTACCAAGCCTTCCATCTAGAAAGAGTTTCTCAATTCTTGTTTTAAACTGTTTGACCCCGTAGTGAATGCAATGCAATCTACTGACTACTGAGTCTGGGATTAATTAGCTAGAAGGAAACTGTGATGATCCTTCTCTGCCTTTTAACGCTTTATTTTTCTATGGTAGAGATGCAAAGAACAAGATCCCCTAGCAATGATGTTTTAGGAAATACTTTAAGACAGTACATAGTGATAAACTGATAATAATGGGAAGTTTCATCTAACAACATTAAAGAAGTTTCTCAGCCAATGCAAATTTTGTCAACCTTGTGTCCTTTGTAGGTGAATCATTATTCAGCTGGGAACAATGGATCACCATCTGCTGCAGAAGGCTCTCATACTAAGTATCCCATATCCAGATCATTGCATTCAATTGATGTTAGTCTCCGTTGATTCAACATTGTTCTTGGTTGTATTGCACTATATCTTGTCACTGTTGTGTTATCACAAATAATAAGAAAAATCTGGTTTCAATTTTATGTAGGAAGAGAAGGGCTTGAAGCAACCGGTTAGTTTCCATTGATTCGACATATGTTCTTGGTACTATTGCACTATATCTTGATCACTGCTATCACAAATAATAAAGATAAATCTGGTTTCAATATTTTTTTTATAGGAAGAGAAGGGCTTGAAGCAAACGGGGATGGCTTCAATATGATTAAAGAATGGTAGTGTGACCATTTGGGTATCTAAACAAACGAGTTGTCTGTTGAGGTTTAGTTATCGGATTTTGAAGCTGATAAAAATGTTATTCGTCAGTTTTCCATATGCGAGGGAGAATTATGAAGAGTCGTCGTGTTTATACAAAGTAGAGCAAGAAGATTACATAACACCTACCAAAAGATGAGATTCTTCTATATGTTGAGGACAAGTAAGCACTGTTTCTACTTTGCTTTTCATTATTTATTTTGTCTGAAAATTTGTTATTTTTGGGGATATATCATATATGGTTTAGATTAGAGTCGGAATCTACTTGATGCATCCATCATATAATTCTTTCCGAGTTTTTTTTTTCTTGCGTGTAAATGGAATGGAGATACTTTCTTTTTATCTTTTTGTTTGCAAATGGAGATAGTAAAAGATTTCGGCGTTGACATGTTTCGTCCTTGCTATAGAGTGAAAAGATCAGGGACATGTAACCAAATGGTTCGTAGTAAACTTGTAAAATAATACTGTCACTACATCACAAGCCGTTCATAAAATTCCGGTTATAGAACTCATAATTTTTCATGTGGACAAAGTTATCCAATAATTTAACATCAAAAAGGCCCATCTAATAAAAGTATACAAAAAAGCCCACGAGTAAATCGAGCTAAAAAGAAAAAGCCTAAGAATCCAATCCACGTGTTGATGTTCGTAGAAAAGTCTACTGGAATTAATGAGGTGATTAAAAAAATGAGCAGCTAATTAAGAATAAGACCCACAGAGAAACCCAGAAGGATCTGGAAGAAGAGGAGGATCCTTTTTTCTTCTTGGATAAACTCTCTCCTATCTTTTTTTTTTTCCTTCTACTTTTCTAATTTCTCACGACAATTCTCCTCCTTTCGTACATAGCAAAAGCCCTTCTCTCTTTTTTTTTTTTTTTCTTTTATTCTTCAAATTTCAAAACTCAAAATCCTTCCTCATCGTCGCTACATTTCTCTGTGCTTGTCGGTTTCTGCTGTTGAAACAAGAAGACTCAAAAGGTTTGCTAATTTCTGCAATTTATCGTTTCTTTATCATCTGTACGGCTGATTCATGGTTAGGGTTTCAAATGGGAACGCAGATATCTTTGATCGATGACTTTGGTTTAAAACGATTTCGTCTGCTTTGATGAATGTTCTGGTGTGCGATTGACGATTTCAAAACCCTTTTCATTTCTCTTCAATAAAGTCTTTTTCTTTTTACGTTTGATATTTTTTGGGTTTTTCTGTGTATTGATGATTGGGTTTTATCGAGACTGGTTCTAGGGTTTCATGTTGTTTATTCGCTCTTAGGGTTTCGATCAAGTTCCGTAACCGACAGATGTATACTCGTTCTCATTCTGTGTGAAATTGTCTTTTTTTTTTGGGGTCATTTCTAGGTACAAGGAATCGGCCATGGAAGAAGCAATTGCAACGAGGTATTGGTGTCACATGTGCTCTCAAACTGTGGATCCAGTCATGGAAGCTGAGATCAAATGCCCCTTTTGTCAAAGTGGGTTTGTTGAAGAGATGGAAGACGACGATCATGATTCTTCTGATCCGGCTGACGTTAGAGCAAACAACTCTCTTTGGGCTCCTATCTTGATGGAACTTATGACCGATCCTGTGCGCCGTAGGAGAAACCAGAGTGTTGAGTCTGTTGAAGATAATCAAAACGAGGCACAGACCGAGAGTAATGAAAACAACGGTGAAGAAAATGATTTGGATTGGCAGCTTCAAGAGATTCTCAGGAGAAGGAGAAGACATTCTGCTGCTGTTTTGCAGTTGCTTCAGGGGATACGAGCAGGCTTGTCTGTAGAATCTGAGAGTACTGGTAATGGAGATAATAATCCGGGACGGGTCATCTTGATCAATACCTCCAATCAGACTATCACGGTTCAAAGCTCTGCTGATATGGATTCTCTACCTGCTGGTTCTTTAGGTGACTATTTCATTGGCCCTGGATTTGAAATGTTGCTTCAGCGTCTAGCTGAGAATGATCCCAACAGATATGGGACACCTCCAGCTAAAAAAGAAGCTGTTGAGGCTTTGGGTACTGTGAAAATTGAAGATACTCTCCAGTGTTCGGTTTGCTTAGATGATTTTGAGATTGGAACTGAGGCAAAGCTGATGCCCTGTGAGCACAAGTTTCATGGTGACTGCCTGTTACCATGGCTTGAGATTCACAGTTCATGCCCGGTTTGCAGATATCAGTTACCTGCAGATGAACCCAAGACTGATTCAGTTACAACAACAAGTGATAACAATGGAGGCAGTGGTGCTCCTGCTACAAGCAGCCATGGAGCTGAGAACAGCAGGCGCCAAGAAGAAGAAGAAGAGGAAGACGCGGAGGAGGAGAACGAGGACAATGATGGAAGCGGATTCTCGATCCCATGGCCGTTTAGCACTTTGTTTACCTCGTCCCAAGATAGCAATGCACCAACGGATTCGAGTTAAAACAGGTTCCCTGAGCAATATACGCTTTTTTGGTGTGATCATGAAATCTCGGTTCTACCAAAATCTGATCTTTTGTCTGTACATAAGTTTCTCAGATTTGGTTAGAAAACAAAAATCTTTCAGTTTGTGTTTTTTAATGTTGTTTTGAACAAATCTTTTGCCGGATTCTGTAAGTCGCTTCTGTGTTTTTTGTTGTCGACCAAAGCCACTTTTGCAATTTAGTTTGTTAAATCAGCAACTTTAATGCCTTAATGGTGAAATAACAAAAATAGTGACTAAACTAGTATGAATTGTGTTAGTAATAAATTGGTAGAATTTGAAAACTTAAAAAAAAAAAAAAAAGTAATTTAACATTCATCACTATTGGTGTATCAAATAGAACTGTATCTTTTGGATATAAATTGTACAGTATGTCTAATTATGTCTTCTTCATGGATACCAAAATATGTTGTCTTTTACTAAACTTAACTTAAGAAATCTTTTTCCTTGTGTTAATCCATGATTGCATTACTATGTAATCTTTTGTTTACGCGTAAACATTAGCTGGAATTTATAAAGCTAGAGTTATACACATGTGTAACATGCAACCAAAGTTACGACTTACGACCATTATGCGGTATTAACGAACTTTATTTGACATTAACGAACTTAACTTTAATATAGTAGTATTATACTAATATATTAACGTTTCACCAAATCTCCTTGTATATATAAGTATTGTAGCATCAACTTATTACATTCTCTCAGATTAGCCTAAATCCAAAAATGAATAGTCAGGTTTTATCCTTAATCACTTTGATTATTCTCTTACTCTCTGCGTACAACGCAACTATGGGCCGAACTCTACCGAGTAAGTGACCGTCTTTGATCATACAAATACAATAATCATTAAATTCATATTAAATTTCATGCATAAACAAAACTCATATTCAGTTCTTGATCTCAAATAATTTTCTTTTAATTATTAAGGGGAAGGAAATGGAGCACAACAATATGAAAATATAAAAGCTGGTGTCACACGAAGTGAATCGCCACGTACTCGTCAGAGAGGGCCTGGACACTGATGATCTCTTACATGAAACCATGCAATAATTGTTAGTCATCTACTGGTTTGTGAATTGTGATAAGTCCGTCGTTGTGAGTTATAGAGCATTACAGTTTTAAACTTTTTTAACAAAAGTTGAACAAAAAAGAGACAAGAGACAACAGATCTCGGCCTTAAAAGGAGCCCGGAGCAGTCTATCACCTCTACACGCAGAACTCGACTCCTTTCTCTGGGCTATGGAGAGTGTTATTCAGCTTTGATTGACCCACATCTGCTTCTCAAAGGATTGCAAAGATCTCATCTTTATGACCGACAACCCCTCGGATTGGCCTACGTTTGCAGCTGAGATTGTTTTCTTTGAAGTTCTTAGAACATTTTTTATATCTTTTAATATTCGTTTTATTCCTCGTTGTTACAATGTCCAAGCTGAGTGCTTGGCTAAAAAAGCAAGAACACATAGATTGTTATTATCCCATGCAAGTTCGTCGGCTCCTGTTTAGTTTACTTTAGAAATGAGTCTTTTTCCGGTAACTTAATAAAATGGGGTTTTAGAAAAAAAAATAAAAAAAAATAAAAATAAAATAATAATAATAAAAATACGACGCACGAGCGCACACATATACCACGTGGCAAACAAAGAGTGGACGTTACCCTAAAACTCCAGCAAAGACCGTAACATTAAGATCTAATAAGCTGAATTCCCCGAGTTACCCTCGCCCGACAAAGAGAGTCAAGGGTAATTTAGGAAAGTATATATAGGTAATAATGCGTCCATAAGCTGATCAGATCCAAAACGCGATCACAAATCTCATCCCCAGAGAACCCAGAGAGAGAGAGCGATATCGAAAATCAAAACTCTCTCCTTTATATATAATCCAATTTACAAATCTCTTTCCCTCTCTAAAAATTTCTCATCTTTGTATAAAAAGCCTACGCCTTTTTCAAATCATTCACCTTCCTTTCGCCTTTTTGGGGGAATTTCTTTCAGTCTTTTGGGTTTACGAAACCCTAGATTTCGAAATTCCGGATTGCTAACTAGCGAAAGGTCTGCTTTTGTTCTTTACCCTTTGTTTCTAATGGTTTCAATTCCACGGATTTGATTTCAATTGAGTTTCTTCGTAGTTGCTTTGTTACGAATTGGATCTCATGTTCTCAAGTTGTGTGTTCATAGCTTTTCGTTGTTTTTTTTAATTGTGAAACAACGTTTCTAGATTTCAATTACCATAACCCTTTTTGACATAACCTGATTTGGTCAATGAAATTCGACTTGTAAAACTTAAAAACAATCTTTTTCATCGACATGAATTTTCTGTTTAAGACGAGATTTATAGCTGATGTGTGTGTTTACGATGATTCTTATGTTAGAGAATGGCTGATCAAGGAATGGAAGGGAGCCAGCCAGTTGACCTTACTAAGCATCCTTCAGGGATTGTTCCTACTCTTCAGTGAGTTCTCTTGTCTTCATTTCTATGTTTTTGTTCTGAGTTTTTGCTTTTGTGAATCACAAGATCTTAACTTTTTCTTGTTTTGGTTTGTTTCAGAAATATTGTCTCAACAGTGAACTTAGACTGCAAGCTTGATCTTAAAGCCATAGCTTTGCAGGCTCGGAATGCTGAATATAACCCTAAGGTTTACTTTCTTTGTGATTTTTTTTTTTTGTAATCGATAATTTTGCTTGGTCTCCATTTCTGTATTTATAAATGAATGCTAATACTTACACCTAACTCTGATTGGCTATAGCAACTTACACTACTTTGGGTTGTAATTTCGGATTTGGTTTTAACCGTAAGTGTTTTATGTCCAGCGTTTCGCTGCTGTAATCATGAGGATCAGAGAGCCAAAGACAACAGCGTTAATTTTTGCTTCTGGGAAAATGGTATGTTAAAAAGTCTTATAGTTTCTTTGGTCACTTTTTCTCTAATGGCTTGATCGACCATGTCCTTGTTTGAACATGGCATTTATGTTGTCCAATTTCAGGTGTGTACCGGAGCTAAAAGTGAACATCTTTCAAAGCTGGCTGCAAGAAAGGTAATTAGCTCATCTCAATATGGTCTGACGTTCTTCTTCTAGCGACACTGTAGTTAGAAACTTGATATAATTCTAGTAGGGATTTGTTCTCTGTTATATTAAAGAATTCCTTTTCTTTGTCCAGTATGCTCGGATTGTTCAAAAGCTTGGCTTTCCTGCAAAGTTCAAGGTACTCATATGTCCATCTCTGGTCCCGATCCACTGTATTATTCTTTTTTATCTCAATCAGCAATTCGTTTGTTTTTATTGGAAGGAAAAACTACGTATATTGTATAGTAATAAAATTGCTGATTATATTTTGCAGGATTTCAAGATTCAGAACATTGTAGGCTCATGTGATGTCAAATTCCCCATTAGGCTTGAAGGTCTTGCATACTCTCATAGTGCTTTCTCAAGTGTAAGTGATCTCAAGCATTGTGATCATATATACTTGTAAGATGGAGTTTATTGGTCTGATGATTCGTACCTCTCTCATCATTGATGCCAGTACGAGCCTGAGCTATTTCCAGGATTGATATATAGGATGAAACTGCCAAAGATTGTATTGCTTATTTTTGTGTCAGGAAAGATTGTCATAACTGGAGCCAAGGTAATAATTATACTTTCTTTCTCAAATGATTACAATTTTTTCGACAAAAAATACTTCTGTCTTCTGATGAAATCATGAGGTTCACTATCAGATGAGAGAAGAAACCTACACCGCATTTGAGAATATCTACCCAGTTCTTACAGAATTCAGGAAGGTCCAGCAATAATAGTATGTAAGTTCAGTTTTCAACATCTCCATTTACATTTTCATACCTCTTAATCAATCAGTGGTTAGATTATGACTCTTTCAATTCGAAATCAGAGCCTACAAAATTGAAAGCAAAACCCATGTTCACGTTTGGATTGCCATGAACTAGAGATCTCGGGTGGTGGCAGGCGCTTGGTGAGGTTATTATCCTTGGACAAGAACTTGAGATGATTCAGATTCAAAACCAGAAATTGTAAATACAGAATGGAGATGCCAAGAAATCTCTTTTCTTTTTTTTTTTTTGTTCTAAAAATGTCTTCCAAGTATCTTGTTTCCTGTTCTGTTTGTTTCAGTGAGCAATACTCAATCATTAAAGAGTTACCTAGTTCTTTGCTAATTGTGCTGTAATAAGACACCAAGTCTGTTTTCCCTTTAATATACTCTTTCAACAATTTGCAGCTTTAGTTTGTCAAATGTTAGGATCATCAGCTTCATCTTTCAATACATAATAATCTTTGTACACATTAGCTGACCTAAAAACTAGTCCTATTATAACATGTTATAGTAGGCACTAGGCAGCGTTTACATTTGTAGAAAGTGAAATGGCAATTACATTAGACGAAAGGATAACAAAGACATGCAATTATATTTTCTTAGTGTAAACAGTAAACTACAGTTCTTGGTTCTCTAAGAAACAGATAGAACGGCTAGTAATTCACAGTCGATTTGATCGCGTCCAATATCTGCATCCGACAAGAAGACATGATTAGTTAGAAACTGCGTTTTGGGTTGGAATAGAGGAATGATAAGAGAAGATGAACTTGCCTTGTTCTTGGTGGGCATGTAGAATGGCTCAAACACAAGAGGAAATGGAGTATCCAGTCCACAAACTCTGCTTACTGGAGCTTCTAACTGCAAAAGAAACGACAGTTACAAACACCAATAAAGAATAGTCTTGAGGATGAATTAAACCTTTACTTTTACTAACCTTTAAAAAGCAACGTTCGAGGATTGTTGCAGAGATCTCTGCTCCAAAACCTCCTGTTACAGGAGCTTCATGGCTTATCTGCAACCCCAAGCACAAGTAAAACAGTCTATAAGACCGACCAGACAAAACAAATTTCGACATTGCCAATTAATTAAGTTAAGACTTACAAGAAGTCTTCCAGTTTTTTTAACCGAGGCCTCGACGGTTTCTTTGTCCCAAGGAAGCAAAGTCTTGAGATCTATCAGTTCACATGATATTCCTTCCTGCATAAATTCAAGACCTGAGTTATTAACTGCGAATCAATCATCATCGAGTTGAAAGATAAAGCTAAAAACCTTTTCTGCGTCCAGACAAGCTTGTTCCATAATGGTAAGCTGAGCTCCCCATCCAACAAGGGTTATGTCATTGCCTTCTCTTATAACCTGATCATAACTCTTAATAGTGAGATCCTCATCTCCTAAAATAGATGGCGAAAAATGAACTTATTATACCTCAGCTTCTGATAAAGGTATCATGTAGTCATGCTCAGGGACTTCTTCTACTGCTTGACGATACAGCCACTGAAGGAAATGTCAACGTTTCAAGACTTTAGAAGAGGTGTTAAGAAGCTGATTTGGATGGTATAAGAGAAAAGGAAGTACCTTTGGTTCGAAGAAGACAACGGGATTTGGATCACGGATACATGACAACAACAGTCCCTTTGCTTCTCGTGGACTTCGAGGGATAACAACCTTAATACCAGGAACATGGCAAAAGAAAGCTTCAGGGGATTGTGAATGGTAATGTCCACCATGACCAACTGCTCCATATGGTGCTCTTATCGTAAGTCCTATCAAGATCCATATAAACGGTAATGAGTAAAAGAAATTACTGATGTCAAGTCACGAAATAAATGTAAAGATGAAAGATTTACCTCCACAATTGAATTGGTTACCACTGCGGTATCTGAACTTTGCCGCTTCATTAACAATCTATGGATCATAAAATGGATGAGAAATCTGGCGGCCGAAATCATATGCTTGTTCAAAGAGCTAACATTTAACCTGATCAAAAGCAGGATATATATAATCCGCAAACTGAATCTCCACAACTGCTCGATTTCCCTATCAAAGTCGAACACCAATAGATGTTAAAATCAGTTCACAACATAAACATAAGAATAGCACAAACAAGAACTCACCATTGCTGCTAGACCAATGCCAAATCCAACAATGCCCTGAATCCATTCAAAGCTTAAATGAATGTCTCATCAATAAACACTAACTTAAGAAATGAAAACAGAAGCAGGTCAAGGAATGGTACCTGCTCACAAAGAGGAGTATTGAAGACGCGGTTTTTCCCGAATCGTTCAGCTAAACCAGTTGTGCAGCGAAAGACTCCACCAAAGCCAACATCTTCCCCAAACACATAAGATCTTCCACAAAAACACTTAAGTCAGACTCTAAAACAACTATAGGTGTAACTAATTAGCTAAATTTCCCTCATTTTTGATCTTCTTCCTTAGAATGTAGTATTAGATGTCTGTTTAACCTAGGGATCAAATGATTTAGACAAACAAGTAACAAGCTTTCGTAATGCAAGCTCACCGAGGATCGGTGTCCAAAGCGATGTGAAGCGCTTGATTAATAGCAGAGTATAGATTCAATGGTTTCCCAGTTTCCGTCGATACCCTCCTAGCTCCGTGACTCAAGCTCGGAAAACTCATTTTCCGGAAGGATCTGCCTAAAAGAGCCGCCATTTACACAAAACCCACCAACAATCAATCTGAAAAATATAGGATTGTGACAAGAGCAAGCTCCCAGATGGTAAGATTTTTAGGTGGCAAAGGTTTGGTTTGGTACTTTTGGGTGAAGAGAAAAACAGATTTCTAAGTTAATCACGTAATTACGAGATAGATGATAGATACTCCTGCCACGTCGGATCCAACACGAATAGATATCTCTCTCTTGCAAGTTGCAACTACTTCATTTAATGCGAGTTTAAGACAAACATTAATGGTCTAACTACAAAGGTTTATAGAGTATAAACAAAAACAAACATTTTAATTGGATGTGTTATTCTTTATCCAATCAGCATTTTAGATTTTGAGAACTTGGAAACAGAGGACAAATGGAGGAAGATAGAAGATTCTAGAAGAAATTAAGAAAAGGCTCAACAGAAGGAATATGAAAATCTGTCTAAGCTAAAACGAAAACAAACCCAACACTGATTTGATCTTTCTCTGCTTCTTCATCTTCCCACCATATGCAGGGATCTTTATACGCATTTTACAAGGTAGGTTCAATAGAAAACAAACACCCATAAAAAGGAAACTAACCAAATTAAAACCGCAGAGAAAAAAAGAACGAAATCGAAAAAAAAGATGACCAAAACCATAATGGAGACTAACTTCCTAGGGGCAAAGAAACAGAGCAGCAGTCAGATCTTCCATGTTTTGATTCCGCTTCAATCTCTGTTCAAACTCACAACAGCAGTCTGGTTCTCATCATTGGTTTTTCCTTCCCAAACCTGTTAAGGGTAAATGCATCTGCTAAATTTTATGGAATTTTAACCGTTTCTTCTCTTGCCTGCTTCTGGGATTGTTGCTGCTTAGCTTTCTTCTCCAAAATAGTCTTTTGTCGAGCCTCGTAGAACGAGAAATCATCCAAAATGCATGTCTTGCTGTTATGCTCCTTGAAAATCTTTACAACCTTCAAACCCTGCTCCAACTTAACCTACATGATCCCATGTAAAGAATTTGAACACTGGAAAGTGGAAAATACTGCTGGTAGATCAGCAAATGTAAACACTTACCTCTTGTGTGTCTCTACTGTTGGTAACAGGTTTATTCTCATTGTTCTCTAGAGTAATATGCTTAAGTAAACTGTTGGGCACATCCTTCACAATATGCCACTTGAGAGGAAATGAGCCAGTCCACTTATCCTGTTGCCAGTACTCAATATTTTTGTTGAAATCAACTGGTCCTTTCATTTCCGCAAGCCCAACAAATTGTCCACTTGCGTTGATCTGGAAACAATTGGGGTATATACAGCTGAGCATCGGGAAACAAAATGAATACACAACATGAAATAAACTAAGAATTAGGTACAAACCGAGAAGAAGAGGAACACAGGGCAGCCACCAGATTTCTGCTGAGCCTCCTGATATGCAGCAGCAAGCTTCTTGTTTCCATTTGGGGTGCTAGCCCAAACATTATATTTGATGCTCTTATGCACATCATCTTCACTGTACGACTTGATGATAAAGAAAATAGCATCTTTATACTCAACTGGAAAATCGTCTCTGTTGTACTCTTCTCTATCTGGAAGAACGCATGTTACAGTCTCCTCAGTATTTGATTCATCAAACGTCTGCTCTTTCACCTCCTCTAAGCTAACCTCTATGGTGTCCTTCTGGTTCTTCGTGCCCTTGGCTCTAGGGCCCCTGTTTAGTTCATTCAGGCCATCAATGTTCTCATTTCCATAGAAGTAACTGTTACCCCTTCCCCGGCTTCTATATTTGTTGTCCGTAGGCAGCCATCCTCTTTCGTTTGTTCTTGAATCATATCCAGAAGAACCATAGCCCATACCAGATCTCACCGTGCTACCATACTGACCATATGACTTGTTTGGGTACACTCTGTCGTAGTAACCCTGAGGTGCATAACCTGTCATGGACGCAGGCTGGTACATACTCTGCAAAGATTAGATTGAGGCTATCAGATATAGGGATTCAGATAGAGAAGAAGATTTAGCATATAAAACTGACTTCCATATCATACTGTGTAATGCGAATTGGAGCGATAGTTTTGATTCCTAGACGCAGGTACATTATTGTTAGCCTTATAATATGAGGATGCAACTCCACTGGCAGAAACAGACCTCTGCACATCTGAGAAGTTAGAGCCATCGTGCCATGACACAGGATTGTAAAACCCATCATAGGTATACCTGGGATCCTGATAACCAGCAGCAAGACCACCTCCAAGAGCACTCTGATTCGATGGTTTAACAGGAGCTGAACCATTCATTCCTTTATGGAAACCACCCTTCGAAGCACCAGCAGATGCAGAGTTGGCTGCTTTGTTTTTAGAGAGTTTACTTTGGGTAGAGGCAGGAACAGATGAAACGAAAGGCCCAATACTGGCTGTTAGAGGAAAAGGATACTGGTACTGTTGAGCACCATACAACTGTCCATCACCACCAAGTTGTGGAGCAGGGCTTGTTGCTGGTGAGTAAGGATAGGTAGCATACCCATATCCCTGTGGATAAGCAAGAGATGCGTTCTCTCCGTAAGCTCCCTGGAGTAAGTAGCAAATGATTAAGTGACGCAGTCGGAATCTCTAGGAATAGCAAACACTATGCCTAGATAGAAATCAAGTTCGCTAGCGACGAACTTAATGATAAAACTCTGGAATCCACCAGAAAAGGGTCTGGAATCCACCAGGAAAAGAGAAAGCTCTCTGTTCTTATTAATTAGAATCAAAAAAAACATCCCCGGTAAATAACCTAGGATCTCTATATATATAGAGAATAAAACCAAAACATAAAATAGAAAACCCTTAAACAAAATAGAAAACGTGAAATAAGTAAATATTAAAAGAAAAGGTAAATTCCCTAAATTTCTCCTACATCAGTCTCCTCCACTTCTGAAGAACTTGTCCTCAAGTTCTCTTCTGATTAAAGAATCTCATTTGCTTTGTCCCGCATAGGAGGGAAGTCATGTAAATAACCGTCTGAATCTAACTCTCTCAAATTAGTTAGAATCTCTGGAAGGTCCTCTGGGATTGTTGTCTTCTTCTTAACAACACTTAGCAACCCATTAGTTTTTTTGAAATTCGCATCTAGCCTTTTCTTGTAATGAATCATAACTAAGACGCTTGATTTCTTTCTCCTTGGATTCTCTTCCTTGTAGTGCTTCTCATGTTCATGTGCAATTAACGTCTTGAGATTCCTTTGTACCACTAGCTTCTCTTCTGGAGTAATTAACATCTCATCCACTTCTGAAATTCCATAGAATAATAGAATATCAGTCTTCACATGATTGCTTTGTTTATTCCCTTGATCAACTATCTCGTCCTTCACGAGTTCTTCTTTAGCATCCATGTGAGAATCATAATTATTATGTAGATTCTCTTGACCAATCTCTTCCTTCATGGATTCTTCATTAGAACTTGTATTTTCATCAATCACAACACGATTGTTTTCCACTCTTGGGATTCCTCTTCCCTGGTTTCTCTGCTGATTTTCGTTAAGCCTAGCCGGTTCTCTTTCTCTGCCTCTTTGCTGATTTTCGTTAAACACCACTTGTTCTCCTTCTCTGCCTTGTTGTCGATTGTGTCTGCCTTGTTGATTCTGATTTCGTCCCATTCCTTCTCCTCCTCCTTGTCCTGCGTTAGCAATCTGATTGGTTAATGCTGCAATCTGATTAGTTAACGCTGCCACCAGATTTGCCAG